AGAGAGAGAGAGAGAGAGAGAGAGGGGATTTGGGAGTGCAGTCGAGAGCAAGAATTTACAAGTGCACTCAATCGTACGAAAAACTGACAAGGGAGAACTATATATTCATGTATATATATATACATATATGTCGGCAAACAGAACTGCCCGGTAAACTGTCGGCAGAGAGGGAGAAGAGGACAACAATGTATAGATGACCTCTGATGTAAGGAGGAAGGTGGAGCAGGAGAAATAGTCCAGCGCAAACAGGAAATGCGAGAGCAAGGGAGAGGGGAGAGGGGAGGTGGCGTAGGTAGTAGCCACGCTCCTCACAACTCGTGCGTGCGTTAGGGGGAGGAGAGCGAGCGAGTTCTACTTGTGTCGTTAAGATATCTTCAGAGGGCGTGGCGTGAGGTGTGTGTTTAAGAGAGGAGATGGCCTCTGCTCCAACCACCCTCGTGATCGTCATCTTCATTGTGCTCTTGATTACCATCAGCCTCGTCATTGTAATTCTAGTCCTTATGTCCTCTTAGTAACAAACCCGATATCATTTTCCGCCTGCTTCTCCTCTTCCTCCTCCTCCTCCTCCTCCTCCTCCTCCTCCTGCTTCCGCCTTATGTCCTGTTAGGACTAAACCCGATATCATTGTCCGCCTGCTCCTCTTCCTCCTCTTCTTCCTCCTCCTCCTCCTGGTTCCGTTGTCACCGTTGTCGATCAATCGTGATCCGACCGTCTGACACGTGTCCTCGGGGCAACGACGGCGGGGATTGACAGAAGAGGGGAGACGAAGTTGGAATGAAGCACGCTGACGTGGCACTGTACGGTGGTGCTATGGGCGATCGCGATCCCGACCGTCGTGGCGACGAAGCAGGAGGAGGAGGAGGAGGAGGAGGAGGAGGAGGAGGAGGATGTGGGAGAGGGAGGAGAGTACTGGTGGGTGATGGCTGTGGACGTCCGTGTGACTGTGGGAAGGAGGCGGTCGACGGCTTCTCAATGGCATTGCCAGATCGAGGCGCTCTCTCCAAAGAGGGGCAACAAAGAGGAGGAGGAGGAGGAGGAGGAGGAGGGGATAGGGGAGGCGAATGGAAGGACACTGGGGGGAGTAAGAAGAGCTTGCAGTCAGCAGGAGTGACATGGCAGCAGTACGAGACCAATCAAGAGGGACGATGCTGTCCGACGTGGCGGTTGCAGCTCAAGAACGTTAATTACTCTGACCGTTTTGACAAGGCCATCGCCTCAGAGGTGAGTTATGTCTCTCTCTCTATCTCTCTCTCTCTCTCTCTCTCTCTCTCTCTCTCTCATTGGGGAAGAAGGAAAGAAAAAGCGGGGCAAGAATTGGGGGAAAGGGAATGAGGAAAATTGAAAATTCACAAGTGGAAAAATTATGCGAAAAGTTCAGTTTTTTGTTATTTTAATTTTGATAATTAATCGGTAATTAGGATCCAATTTCTTGTCTGAGCGTTGCTGTTGATCACTTTTTTTTTTTTGAAAGTGAGAGAGGCCTGAATAATTACTATTATGTTATTGGGAAAATTGTCGAAATGCCCCTGAAAGTCGGGGTATTTCATCAGATACCACTCAAAGATATGGGTAAGGTGAAATGCGCCTCTGACAGTCATGAATCTTTGCGAAATACCCCACTCGCCAGTTGGACCTGTCATCTTTCGCGTATACCCCTGTCATCTTTCGCATATACCCCTACCGGGCCTTGACAACTTGTCTATATGCCCAGATGTTCTGTCCCTTGGACCCTGCAGATGGCAAAGAAATGCACTGGCCCCTGCAGCCCAGGGCAGGGCATATGGGAAAGTTGCCTATGATGGGGACAGGGGCAGATCCAGAAGTTTGGGGCATTTCGGCTATATATAACCCCTTTATTTTCGGGGTATCTAGCGAAATAGCCCAACTTTTAGGGGTATTTCAACAATTTTGCTTATATTATTATATTGTGAATTTTACCGAATATAAATAGTAACCAAAATAATCCAATACTATCCTTCTGACTCGATCTGGGGGAAGGTCCCATTGGCAAAGAGGATTGGATTGAACGCCTGAATCTGAATGTGATTGCGGCAAGGTGCAGAAAATGGAGATCGAACTGCTTTTCTGCATCTCTGCTTCTAACATGTCCAGATTCAGCAGCTTAATCCCATCCTCTTTGCTAGTGGGACCTCGTGACCTCATTCATTAACAGTCTCATGCGTGTGCCATTCAATGCTGCCTGGGCTGAGTGTTTTTTTTTTTTTTTTTTTTTTTTTTTTTTTTTTTTTTT